AGGTGCGCCCTATTTCCAGGGCGTGGAGGGGTTTAGCCTGTGGAACAGTAATCCCGCATCGCCATGGCTTTCCTTAACTTCTAGGCAGAATACTTTTTTATTAAGAATTATTCTAGTTTGGTTTTGTCATTATTTTTTCTTGTTTTTTTTTTTGGTACTGGGGATCAAACTGGGGTCCTTGCATTTGCGCAGCAGGAGGATTTTAGCATGAGAGTAAGATCAGATTCTAAAACATTAAGGAATACTAGTTCATGATGATTACAATGATTTTTTTCTGTTTAATCATGTTTCCTAATCTGGCCAACACTCGACCCTATGTATTAAGAATAATTCACATGTTAAGAATAATTCGTTTGCATATCTTGGCCCTAGTGCTATCATTAGGTGTCTTTCCCAGGTAATTTCTAAGTTAAACTAGGGATGATGAGGATGAAAATTACAATTTATTTCCCAGTCGTAGAGAATTTAAAGTGGCACCATTTATGTATACTTTAAAAACAGAGATTAAGGAATAAGAATATGGACTAGGAATTGGATTTTCCAGCCTTCCTTTCAAGATAGCAAGATCCAGCACACCCAGGGGAGGGCAGATCAGTACTTGGCCCGAACTTCTGGGCGGAGAGCGGGCTGGGTCCCTGTGGATCCTGGAGCCTGTGACCCGGGTGGGGGCTCTGGAAGCAGCTTGCAGCGCCAGGGAGCCGCAGAGGCTGTGGTGGGGAGACGTTGCCAGAATGAACACACACACGCACACACAGACGGAATGAGAGCGCGCAGACACGAGTCCAGGTCTTTCAGACCCCAGGAGCTGGGAGGACAGCAGCTTCTCTGGCTGTGGGCTTCTCAGTGGTTCCACATGAGCCCAGCTGGCCGAGCCCCCCGCCCCCGCCTGGGGCTCCCCACAGGCACACCGGGGTGTAGGCTTTGATGCAGGACTGGGGCTGGGGACACAGACATTGAGGCGCAGCATCGCCTGGTGCTGGCATGTGCACAGGCCAGGGGCGCCGTCAGGGCTGGAGAAGCAGCAGGCGAGAGCTGGGAAGCCCAGTCTCTCCTCCGACATGGTCTTTCCGGGCGCTGAGGCGGGTGTCCTTGCGCTGTCTGGTCTCTTGGGGACCCTGGCCGGCGTGTGGGGGTCAGACGGGAGCCCGCCTTGCCTGAACTGCGTCCCGGGGCCGCGTGTTCCCCCGTGTGGGGCTGTGCCAGCGCACAGCGCCTCAGCATCTCTTCTCGGGGCTCCTGGCCGGGGGCTGTTCGGTGAATGCTTCTTGTCTAACATTCCTTTGGCTTAGGATGGTGTTTATCAAAATGTACTTTCCAGTCCCTCCCGGGCAGCATTTTCTGGGCTCATGACAGAATAGGAAGGGCTCACAGCAAGCTGACTTAATAAGAAGCTGAGCTCGAAGTGCTCTTCCTCCCAGCAAGCCTTCCCGGGCGCCCGACACAGTCTGAGAGCTGCTGATGTCAGGAGGCCCTCCTTACCGGAAGTGCTTGGGGGGCCTCAAGGTGGTGGATACACACTGGGGAGGGCCACACAGCCACAACGGAGCTGGAGCACGCAGTGGAGCCACTTGTAGGAAAATAGATGGACCTTGAGCCTGCAGTGCTAAGGGAAATAAATTAGACACAGAAGGCCAAATAGCAACTGGCGTGTTTTATGTGAGAGAGCCAAATATCCATAGAGAACAAAATAAAAGAGCTGATCGGAAACAGGGAGGTAAATCGCAGGCAGGCCTAATGTTATTTATAGTTCGCATGGAAACTCACTTTTTCCTGGGGCCTTTCCTGTTAGGCCCCTGTAACCACCCCGCAGTGCCGGTTCCCATCACGGCAGAACGAGGCCCCGCAGGCCTCTGGTCTGTGCCCTGGGTGCACGGCCTGGACGCCCGCCCCTGTCTCCGCAGGTGGACATGCAGTGGGTGCAGGTGCTGGCCGAGGGCTGGGCCACGCCGCTGGGTGGCTTCATGAGGGAGCGCGAGTACCTGCAGTGCCTTCACTTCGACTGCCTCCTGGACGGTGAGCGGGGCTCGTGGCTGCCCGTGGGAGCTGTGGCCGTAGCTGGGGCCCTTTCTGGACTGGTGCACCGCGAGGTCTCCCTCCTTCCGCTGCCCGTCGTGACCTCGCTGGAGACAGGGCTGAGAAGGGCTGCGAAGTGGGCACAGCGCCTTGTGCTGCGGCCGCCCGGTTGCTGCGAGAGCTCACCCTAGCACGCGCATGTGTGCACACTCATGAACACATGCATGGAGCCCTCGGGCAGGCTTCCAGAGCAGTCAGAGTTCTGTGGAAGCGAAACCCACAGCTCTTGATGTTCTTTCACAATGTTACAACCTGTGCCAGAGAAACCGATACTGATGGCCACCATCCAGTCTGGCTCTTCTCCCGCCGGGGCGCGTGCTGTCGGTGAGCACCCCGAGTGTGCACTGAAGAGAGTGCTCTGGCTTTTTGTTTGTTTTTCTTTGAGAAAGGGTCTTGCTATGTAGCCCAGGCTGCCCTTGCCCCTCTTGCCTCAGCCTCTGAGTGCTGGGGTTACAGATGTGTGCTGCCACAGCCAGCAAGGGCGTGCCCTGGACCCACTGAGATGCCACCAAGTTCTCCTGAAGTCTGACTTCTTTCGGCTGCCAGGGTATTGGAAGCGCAGTTCCTGACCCTCCTGGAGGAGGGACGTCGGAGGGGGAGTGTCCCCTTGGCTTTCCTCCTGGGACCTGGGGGCTGCACTGCTGCCCGGTGAGGGCCTGGTCTTGGACTCATTTCATTTTCCACGTGCTGAATTCTCACCCGGATCCTCTGGTGGTGACTTCAGAAACGGCCAGTTGTCACCCGTGTTGCCTTTTGTCCAGGCAGGCACGGTTTCCTCAGGGGGTGGACCAGGAGGATGCTGTGTCTTCCAAGCTGCATATGATGAGTTGATGCTGCTTTTGTTCCTGAGAGTGACAGCTGGGTGATGGCTGATGTCTGATGATATTAGGATGATGGGGCTGGGCGTGGTGGCGCATGCCTGTAATCGCAGCACTCGGAGGCTGAGGCAGGAGGATCGCTGGAGTTTGAGGGCAGCCTGAACTATGTCGTGAGACCTTGTCTCAAAACAACAACAAGGACAGCACAACAGCAAAGAACAGTGGAGGGTATTTTTGTCTTCCTGTTGCGAGCATGCCCAGATAGACTCGGTACGCTTACTCAGCTTGCCACTTAAAATGTAGCTGTGTCATTCTCTTTCAAGAATCGTTTGTGTTTTGTTGAAATGGTCGCTAAACAATTTTCTGTCTCCTTCAGAGGGGTGCACAGCACACTTTTGGTAGTGTTAGTCATAACCAGCTGATGCTTCCTTGTCAAAAGTTTCTTCTACTTTTGTAATTCTGTGTAAAAATTTCTTCCGGGCTGGGAATGGTGATGCATGTCTAGAATTCCAGCGTCTGGGAGGCTGAGGCAGGAGGATGCCACGTTTGAGCCCAGCCTGCTTTAGTGACTTAGTGAGATCCTTTCTCAAAATTTAAAAAGTAGACAGAGCTGGGGCTGCAGCTCAGTGTGAAGGCCCTGGGTTCAATCCCCAGCACTGGGAAAAAGAAATCTCCCCAAGGACAGTTTGATGAACTGCGGTAAGAGTTCCTATACAGCGCTCATTCTTTTAATTTTGCCATTTCTTTCATTTTTCTGCCTTCGGGGCCCCTGGTGGCTTCCTCCGAGGTTGTAGTTTGTCCCTTCCCACACCAGGCTCTGTGTGGATGGTGCCGCTGGACCCACGGACCGTATCACTGCGGAGCGAGCCCCCTGAGTAACCCACGTGTCCCCGTCCCTTCCCGCGGCAGGCGGCGTCATGAACCTGTCAGTGCCGATCGTCCTGACGGCCACTCAGGAGGACAAGGAGCGGCTGGATGGCTGCACAGCCTTTGCGCTGCTGTACGAGGGCCGCCGCGTGGCCATTCTTCGCAACCCAGAGTTTTTTGAGCACCGGAGGGAGGAGCGCTGCGCCCGGCAGTGGGGGACCATGTGCAAGAGCCACCCCTACATCAAGGTCGGATACCGCTCGAGGCCTCTGGGTTTGTGAGGGCGCTGCGCCCGATGTGGGCTGTCTGGTGCTCAGGCCCCGGCCTTGTGAGTGCGTGCAGACTGGGTCTTAGATCAGCGCCACGGGGGGTGCGGCCTTGTCCTTCCGCCCAGATAGATAAACGTTTACGCACGGTATCTTTCGTGTATTTAATTTTTGGTGCTGGGAACTGAACTCGGCCTTGTGCATGGTAAGCATGTGCTTTACCACTGAGCTACACCCTCAGCCAGTAGCAGTAGCCGATATTTTAAAATATCTGCGATGTGCCGAGCACTGAGCAGGATGCTGGCCTGTGGCCATGGCTGGACACGCCGGGCACAGTGGTGATGCTCGTGGGTTGGGTGGAGCGGATATCACCGTGCACTCAGGGACCTGCTCCAGGGTCTGTCTGAATGAATTTGTGGGCGAATTAGCCAAACTAGCATTGGAATTTGCCAGTGATCACGAAGGATTCCAAAGTTCAGGGCTGTAAGATGGGGGTGAGTGGCCAGCCCAGGTTACAGACAAACCTGTTCCTTAAAACATAGCCACAGCGAAAGAATGCTTTTATTACTTTAAACGTCCTAATCATTCAGATCGCTTTTGTTGGCAGCTCATTTGTCAATGTAATAACTGTTTCTCAAGTTGGAGAAATTACAAACCCATCCTAATTACAGAAGTGGTGGCCTAGCAGAGGGTGTTTCCTCTGAGACGGAGAGCAGATCTCAGCTGTATTTGGCTCGAATGAGGGAACTTGAGGGAAATGTTCGTCCTGGTTTGATCGTGGTTTCTGTTCAGACGCATTATTTTCTTTTCCTCCTGTCAGATGGTTATGGAGCAGGGAGACTGGCTGATCGGAGGGGATCTGCAGGTCCTGGACCGGATCTACTGGAACGACGGCCTTGACCAGTACCGGCTCACTCCCACTGAGCTCCGGCAGAAGTTCAAAGACATGAATGCAGGTGAGCGAGGACCTGGCTAGCTGCCAGGGAGCTTCTAGGCTAACTAAGGGGTAAACTAAGCCCAGGGAGAGCTGAGACCCGGGGAGCTTTGTCACACGGTGTAGGTCGATCTCAGGTTATTTGCCCACGGTGTGAGAGGTGGATGCTAACAACAAGCTCCGTGCTGACACGCAGCATAAATACAGACCAGAACTTAGTGAGTGACGCTCAGACAGCTGGCTTCCTGTCCCAGCAGACCGGCAGACCATTCTTGCGTCCACTCTATTGGGCAGTGTTTGCTGTGCCCATGTGCCCAGCACCGAGGGCTGGGAGATAGGTGCGCAGGGTGGAAAAGTGAGAAGGACCGGGAGAGCAGGGCAGGAGCGATTTCAGAGCGTGTCGGGGTGAGGAGGTGCAGTGAGACAGCAAGGCTCGGGGCCCTTCTGGTGCTGTCGTGCACGGGCCCAGCACCCGAGCAGGGCGTGGTGCGGCTTCCTGCTGGGTGCTCAGCAGGGCTGGGTGTGGAGCCCAGGGCCCTGTGGGAGCTGCAGGTCTGGGGAGCGTGAGGGTCCTGAGCGTGCGGAAGCGGGGCCCCAGCACTGTGGAGGCTGGTGGACGTGGCTGGAGCAGAAGGCTGCTGGCCATGGGCTCTGCTGGTGACCCTGAGCCCTGTTCCCAAGGGTCCAGTGGACTTGTGCCAGACCGGAGTCCCTGGTACAGCCCAGGCTCCAGCCCCAGCCCCAGCCCCAGAGGACACTGGAACCCACAGCACAGGGTTTCATTTTAAAAGTGAAAAGCAGTCAGGTGTGGAAGGCACATGAGGCAGAACCTGGTGCACGGTGAGAGGCAAGGCTGTGGCAGCTGCTGAGAGCAGAGCTCCTGTGTCTGTCTGTGTGGAGGGAGAGCAAGAGCAGCTGTCTGTCCTCGCTGCAGCTGTGCTTTGCCGAAGCGTGAAGTCCCGTGGATTTAAACCGGGCTAAGAATGGAGGCCTCAGTGGGCTGCGCCCTGCGCTGTCCTGCCCCATCCTCATGCACACACACTTGGGGGCCCTCCTCCCTCCTCTCTGCTGACAGGAAGTGGATATGTGGTTAATCTGCAGGTGCGGGAGCTGCTCCAAGTGCCTCCTGGATGCTGCCCGAGGGAGCTTGTTCTCTTTTCCCTGGCTGACCGCTTTGGGCCCAGCTGAGGGATGCGTAAGGACTGATGTCCCTCAGCCCCGCCCTGGCTATGACGCGAGGTCCACCTGTGGTCCCTGCTGGACACTGGTGCAAGGGCAGGGCTTCTGGGAAAGACTTCCCTTCCTTCCCAGAAACTGGCTTAGGGGACCCCCTCCCCAACAAACAAGAAGTAAAAACTTCAGTGGTCGTTCGCCAACCTTTCTGTCCTCACACGGGATGCTTTCACGTGAGGAGAACAGCACTAGAGCCCTGCGCCTTCTGTGTCCACGCGCACCCTGCTCACCTGGCCCTCAGTCCTCACTGCGTGTTCTCATCCAACCTGGAGTCGTGTCTCCAGAAGTCTTTTTCACGGAAACAGTACGCATCTGAGTCATCTGAGACACTTGGAGTTGGGTCTTCTGTTGCTTGCAGCCAGGAGCATCAAGGGTTTGACGCGTGTACTCTTTCTTAGCACATGCAGAAGGCGCTGGCGAGGCCACCTTGTTTTGCTTTTCTTGGCCACAGTTAGAGTTCCTGTCTGGAACCGATGTCAGTAAGCTGGTTGTTGGCACCTCAACAGGTCTTACCATGAAATTACTGCTCATAATTAGGTCTTGAATGTCACATCTGTGCTACAGTCTTTGTGAGCCAAACATTTTGAGTTGTTGGGGGAATTTGTTGCATAATGAATGATTTCAGCCTTGTTTAAAGTAGCTGAGAGCCAGTTATTAGCCATACATCAAACAACGAAGATTCATGGTGTTATTTTGTTGACTTTTCCATTTTAGACTGAGGCAAATAAGCAACAGAGGAGAAGTTTGCTTTGTAGTTCTTGCTCACTCTGAGGAAGCCAGTGCCACGCCATCTACTGTGTGCTCAAGGGAGAGAAAGCAGGGAGTTATATATTTTTGTCATATTCTTTCTTACCCCCCTTCCCTCAATGAAGAAGCCGTATTTCCATCACCCCTCGTGGGCTGTCGCCCTGTGCCAGAGTGACATTAATTCAGGCAGCTGGCTCTTCCGGGACCCCAGCTGAAGGATGGCGTACCCGGGTCTGTCGGCTGTGCTGCGCTTCCAGGGGTGGGCTCTTCTGGTTCTAGAGGAGTGACCCGTCCCGGGGAGGAGCCCAGTGAGAGCTTGGGGTCCCATCCTGGTATAATCCTGGGGTTCTGCCTGTTACCACTGGAACAGGGAAGAGGGTGAGAGCACTTTGTGGAGTTGTAGGATGTGGAGCCAGTTTAGAGGAACAGAGATGTTAGGAGGGGGTCTTGGGCAGTTGGGGTGACCCACAGGGGAGTGGAGCAGAAGGGGGGGATTGTCTTCGAAGTCAGTGGGTTTGATTGCAGACAGCAGTGAGTGGGAGGAGGGGCAGGAGGCCCTCTGTCTGTCCGTCTGTGTGTCCGTCTGTGTGTGGGTCCCAGCAGCAGCAGAGGGAACACAGAAGCCACCTCTGTAACAGCTCAGAAAACGAGCACAAGGATACAGCAGGGCTGCAGAAGTCACAGCCAGTCGCACAGCCATAGTCCACCTACGGGCGACTTGTGCTCCGATTTTCTCCCTTGGCTCTGAACTTTCCTTTAAGAGGGGTTCAAAAACCGGATGGAGGAGGAATGGCTGGGGCTGTGGGCAGCAGGCTTAGGGCAAGGCAGCCGGGAGGTCCCTCTTGTCCCTGTTGGGCTCTCCCTGCCCTGCCTGCCCAGGAGTCCACCAGGGAAGCGGACCTGGAGGAGGCGGGAGGAGCAGGCTGTGAAGGTGCAGAGTGGAAGGAGGAGCCTTGCACCCCGGAGCACCCGGGTGCACCAGGAGCTGAGTGAGAGGCTGGAGACGCGGGAATGGTGGGGACGCGGGCGCCCTGCGCGGCTCACTGTGCTCCTCTCCAGGGCGGTCGGGTGGAAGGGCCAGAAGGGCGGCAGTTGTAAGCGTCAGATGTCACCGTGTGGGTCACCTCCGGCCCAGACGTGGCAGAGGCAGAGGTTGCAGTCCTAGTGCAGCGCTCCAGGAGCCGCGGGTGGCAGGGTCATCGTGTGCGGGGCCGGAAGTCGCTTGGTGTCTGCGGCTCCCCCATTCCCACTGACCACTGCTCCCGCTTCCCGGTGCGGAGCGGTGGTGACCGTGGGGTCCCCACACCTTGGCTGGGGTTTCAGTGGCTGCTGACTGCGCTTTCTCTTCCAGATGCCGTCTTCGCGTTCCAGTTGCGCAACCCAGTGCACAATGGCCACGCGCTGCTGATGCAGGACACGCACCGCCAGCTGCTGGAGCGCGGCTACCGGCGGCCCGTGCTCCTGCTGCACCCCCTGGGCGGCTGGACCAAGGAGGACGACGTGCCGCTGGCCTGGCGCATGAAGCAGCACGCGGCGGTGCTGGAGGAGGGCGTCCTGCCGCCCGAGTCCACCGTGGTGGCCATCTTCCCGTCCCCCATGATGTACGCCGGGCCCACCGAGGTAGGCGCCAGAGACGCCTGCTCCGCCCGCTCCGCCTGCTCGGTGGCTCGAGGGTTTGGCGCCGCCAGGGACGCGCCTGGTGCCACCTGCGCAAGCTCCGGGAAAGGGCTTTCCGCGCTCGTGCACTGTGGCCTTGGTCCCTGCGTGCGGACACGGCCGTCGTCACACAGGCAGCCCGGACAGCTCCATTCCCCTTGCACCCTTAGTGGAGTCCTGCACCTCTCTCCCCAAGGGCGGGCTCGGCTGGTCCCTGCCTATCTGGGCTTTGCTGGAGCTGAGGGTCCTCCCAGGGAGCAGGGTGCTGTATGCCTCCCTCTGTCCCTAGGGAGAATGCCGCAGGCCACCCTGTAAGAGGCGGGGCCTCGCCTCAGTCTGTAAGGCTCAGTACCCCCCGGAAGTGAAAGAGGGGCTGGGGTCCCCTGCTTGAAGGCCACACCCCCAGGGCCAGCAGCCCATCTCTTAGAAGCCCCGCCCCTTTAGAGTGAAGTGGCCCCTGGGGTTTCCAGGTGTGGCCCCTGGGGTTCCTGTCCATCCTCAGTGTTCAGCACCTCGGGAGCTTAGAGAGCATCTGGGAGCCTGAGCCAGGGGAGGAGGAAGCAGAATTCCCGCTTGCTGGGAGAGAGGGCTCCGGAGCTGCTCTGTGGTGGGAGGAATGCTGGCCGCCTTTTCATGCCTGCCTCGGTGTAAAGAAAAGGGCTTAATCAGGTTTTAACTTCAAGGCAGAGGCTGCTTTCAAAAATATTTGTTGAGGGAATGCATAAATCAGCGAATGACCTCAGAAACAGTGGGTGGGAGATTCCAGCCAGCTTCTGGCAGAGGTTTCAAGATCAAGGGTGGAATTCGCATTATTACTGCATTCCTTTTCATCCTGCCTGAGAGGGAGACCAGTCCGAGAGGTATCCAAGAGGCCAAGCCGGTTTAAAGAGATCCAAGTCATGTGGTTGTACAAACTCTGAGAGTTCTTATCTCCCCCCCCCAATTTTATAAATTTAAAAGGCCAAAATGTTTAAATGGAATTATAGTGTTGTGTACTTTGTTATCTTTTTATCCTAGAGTAGAACTTAGTTATGGTGTTGTATACTTTGTTACCGTTTTATCTTAGAAAATTGAACAGTGACAAGCTGGTAGGGAGGCACAGGCCTGTCATCCCAGCCTCTGGAGGCCGAGGCAGGAGGATCCCAAGTTGGAGTCCAGCCTGGGCAACTTAGTGACCTAGCACGATCCTGTCTCAAAGTAAAAAATAAGAAAGGGCTGGGGATATGGCTCAGTGCGAAGGCCTTGGGTTCAATCCCTAGGGCCACAAAACAGAGCAGAAAGAAAAAGTCGAAAGATGTATGCGTGTGGGCTCAGCCCCTGTGACGCTCGTAAGGCGTCGAAAGTCCCACCGTCCTCTCCTCATCCTCTCCTCCTTCGTGTCCGTAAGAATGTGCCAGTGACCAGCCATGTTTCCCACCATGGCCTCCCGGAGAGGAACTGTTGAAAATGAAATAGCTGTTTTGTTGCAGCCAACATCATCATGGTCACTGTAATGGAGTAGTCTGCCCTGAAGTCCTCCTGAGTTGTGGACGGATGTTTCTGACTGCGGGAATGACATCCCCACAATTTGGGGCCATTTTCTCAGATGCCATCTGGCACTACTTTGGGGTCAGTGTCCCAGCCCCGTGCAGTGCCGCTGGCTGCCACAGCACCTGCCCCTGCTGCTCTGTCCCCCAGGGCAGGATCGCTGCCAGGGTCACAGGCCCAGCCACGGGTCTGGGTCAGTCTTGTTCAGACTTCTCCGATGTCTGGTGAGGTGCGTTAAATGGTTGTTTGAAGGAAGCACACCTAGGGCTAGATATTCTCATCATTTTCTAATCTGTCTGGCCTTGTTTTCACTTTATGTTGAATTCTGAATGGGAAGAAGTGCACTTCTTTAGTGCAGAACTGGCTGAGCTGTGAACAGAGCACGGCCAAGTGGGGTTCAGAGTCAAGGAGCCGCGTGGGGTCCGGGGCCGGGAAGGTGCAGGGAGATAGCAGAGCGCAGTGGGTGCGTTGCTGAAGCCGAGATGTGAAGGTGCTTGCCAAGGGCAGCCAGGGAGGCCGCTGTCGCCAGCAGCGCGTGGGCAGCAGGAGTTAGAGCAGAGATGGCGTGGTCAGGTCGGAGGGTTCTCAGCAGACCTGGGGCAGCACAGGCCCGGCGGAGATGGACATGGTGGCCAGGCTAGGTGCTCAGGGCAGCTGGACTAGAGGAGATTGGGGGGCTTTGTCAGCGTGAAAACCTAGGGGACGCGGCCTGGACTCGGTGGCCTTGTCCTCAGCAGTCGGGAATGGGCAGAGAGGTCAGTGATCGGTGCAGCCCTGAGCTGCCTGGCCCCTGGGCGAGGTGAAGGCCTGGAGCATGGACTGCTGAGGTCCGCCTTGTGTGGATTTGGGGGCCAGAGATGTGGCTCTTTCTCCTCAGAAAGCCCTGCACTCCTGCCTGAGCAAGATGCAGCTGCACTCCTCAGTGTTTAAGGACTAAACTTTGGAAATCCCATCGAACACATCACACGTTAAACCATGAAACACTTAATGCTCATGAGCTGGTGAGATTTAAACTGGGTTGTGTGGTTCAGGAAGACTGCATTCTTTCCTCTGTCACACTTGTGCGTTTGACTTCCTCACAGCCTTCATGTGCAGCATTCTCCTGTTAAACATACACGTGCACGAACACACACCAGACCCTCATTTTTGTAGCTTTTCCCGTGACATCAGGAAAAAGCTTGCCAGTAATGCTTATTCACCAGCTCATAATAGTAAAATACAAACATGGCCTCTTCCTTTAATCGTCTTCCATAGGTCATTCAGAAGGCATTGGTACCAGATTTGTTTCCTTAGCACAAATCCTTTTCAGAGTAGTCAGCAGCTGCATGGTCTGTTTGGTTATCAACAGGATGCTCCTGATGTTCCAGTCTGTAAAGATTTAATGGGTTCGTTCCTAAATTCCTTAGCAGTGAAGGGGGGGTGGATGTGGGGAGAATTGACTTTATAATGCTGATTTTTGTCTGTGTGAGGAATTAATTGACAGTGTAGGAATCCACTTTGCCTTATTTCATGAAATACTAAACAGTACACTGTGAGGGGAAAGTAAAAATATGCTTGTTAAGCAAGAATTCTGTATTCAAGCAAGATTATCTTAGGAAGTAATGAAGTAACAGCATCTTCAGATGATAGGAATTGAGATTTTAGGGGGGAGTTTGGCTGAGACTGTCAGCAGGTCCCCTGGAGGTCTCATTGCCCCTGTGCAGCCTGGAGGCTGAGGACGGACGGATGGCATCTTCGCCTGTGCAGACCTGGGAGCAGGGAGGGCAGGCGGCTGGGCCACCAGCAGCGTTCACCACACATGAGTCAAATTACTTTTGAAATCAGGAAGTACAGTAATGATATTCGTTATCTAGTTCATTGATAAAAACAACGCAGAAAATGAGTCATTTGTTGCTTGGCTGCCATTTTCAGATTTATAGGAAACTGCTGAAATCACCTTTTTTCCTTTATCAGCATGTGTTCCGTCTGCCAGACCCCAGGCTGCCTGCTGGCACCTCCTCACCTAACTCCTGGGGGAATAAAGAGGCTGGCTTTTACTACCCATCTCCTGGGTAGCCTGGCATTGATGCCAGGCTCTTTGCATGGAGCTACATCCCTGGTAGGGCTCGATCCTCCTGCCTCAGCCTGCCAGAGTGCTGGGATTACAGGCCTGTATCCCCAGGCCTGGCTGAAGTCTATTCTTACATGGAGGTTATCATAGGCTTCCCTATGTTCTTTTGGTTAAAGCATATTAACTTCTCGGCAGGCTATGAGTTGATTCACATTAGGCCTTCCTTTTTATCCGTATCTGTTACAATTCTAAAACTAGGTCTCAGGAGAACCATTCACTGAAATGTGAATTGAGATTCATCAGTCATGTGTAGGAGAATGCTGTCTCATGCTCAGTCTGCTCACATTTAATTTACTTGTAACCTCTAGAAGTTAAGGAGGTGACTGAGTTCTCCGGGTGATTTTCCAAGCTTCAGAATCAGAACCAGCCACTGCCCAGTGTGCTCTGCGACCCCAGGATGATGCTTAATTTCTCCAGGCTCTAGTCTCCTCTCTTTTAAAAGGGCAAACAGGTGTGGATTAAAGGACCTGAGCTTCCTAGCGTATTTATAAAAAGTCAGACAGTCCCAGTTTACTGACCTTCTAGTGTCTGAATGATAGACATAAATATTTAATGAGCAAATTAAATTCAGAGAACCCAGCCTGGCCTTTTAATCTCACTCTGTGTGAGCAGTTGCTCATTCTCATGAGACAGAAAAGATGTTTCACTGGAATAGGGTTGTAAAGCGATCAGAAGATCACAGTGCTACTGTAGCGTGAACTAGCAGAGCCTCTGCTACTCATCCGTGCGGGGACAGGAGGTGACTAGACTCGCTGTGCACAGTGGCAGCTGAAGGTGGCAGGGAGGAGGCAGCATCGCCCGAGTGCAGGGAGCTGGTGTTGCCCTCCTGCATTGCCATCGCGTGCACACAGAACTATTGCAGCTCAGCGCTAGAAGCAGCAGCGCTACAGTAGAAAACAATCTAGTTATGGCACTTTGGAGTCCTGTCTGTTCGGCTGGCAGATGGGGAAAGAACCAAGATGGGCTGGGGAGGCTTTGTGGGCCACAGGGAAGCACTGCGTGTTGGTACTGTTGGCCCAGTTCCTTTGGGCAGAACTCAGCCATGTGGCCACACTTCAGGGCTGCTGGGAGTGCTCAAAGGGCACCATGTGCAGACGAGGGAGGGTGGAGAAGGTGTGGAGAAACACAGGCATATGAGGGACCAAGCAAATGGGACAGACCCTAGGCAGTTATGAACTTGGGAAAATCAGTTGCCCAAGGGAGGGAATAAGATAATGAATGTAAGAATGGCTCCATTTATTATATCCTTATTTCCAAGTCCTTGGGTTTCATTTATGTTCTTTAAAATTCTGTGAGATAAATACCACGTATTTCCCACTTTACAGATGATTTTACCCGTGATGTTGGTGTCACTGGGGTCCATGGAATGAGTAGTAAGAGTGGAATAAGAGCCAGACATATCTTTCATAGTAGAAATCTAAATAATGTGCAGATAATGTCTGCACAATGCCTGGAGTTTAACATTCAGGACAAAGCAGTGTAGCGTGCTGTGTGGCTGTGTGGAGGTGAATGCTGGTAGAGACAATTTAGAAAGGGAAGATCCCTCAGGTCCGGGGTGTGATGTTATCCTTGTATACTGCACTATCAAACTCTGTTGATAAAATGTCTGTGAGTGGGAAAGGGAGCCAAGAGACAGGGGAGGGACATAAAAAAGAATTGAGATGTGTTATGCACATGTGTCTGCTCCCCACGATGAAGGTATCATTATAGACTGCAAACGTGAACTAGTTTAAATTATATATATAGGTACTCGATGAGAGAGAAACTGCTGAGAAAGATAAAATGAAAACAAAACAGTAGAAGTGTTCTGGTTATTCATGTGCAGGACTCATCATTTCTGCCGTATTTTCATGGAAAGCAGTGATGGATCTTCAATCACTGAGTACAGAGACTGCACAGAAAGGGAGCTGAGGCCAGATTTCTGGGCCTGGGTTTATCCCGGGGTTGTTGGCCAAATCCCTTCGTCGCCAGAGGCTGTGGTTTCTTTCCGCGCTCCTGACGGTGCTGAACAGAGCTGCTGTGTCACAGCCCCCGTGGGGCTTTGCCTGTGTAGACGGGGATGAGGCCATGATGTGAATGCAAGGGCTTCAGAGCTAGTGCTGGAGGCAGAATTGCTGTCCACGCCTCCCCGGCCAGTCTCCCGGGTCGTGGTCACTTAGTGGCAGGGTCTTCTCCAGACCTGCTTAGGTGAGTAACCCCACGGGTCAGGTCATTGTGTCCAGTGCTTTGTGTAACCTGTGAAAGTGTAAGGGAGGGAGGGGCTCACGAGTTGTAAGTGTGCCCACCTGGGAAGAACCTTCCCAGAGACCACACCTTGAGGCCTGGAGCCTGGGCCTGGATCCAAATCCGGAATGGGTCCCCGTCCGTGGAGCTGCTGACAGTTGCTTCCCTCCGAGGGGAGCCGCCACCCTTGCCTCTGACCTCACAGGGTGGGTTCTGGACTCTGGAGGTGACAGCCTCAGCTGGGTGACGCCGCACACTGCACACGCGTTCCAGCGTCTTTTACAAGGGAGTCACGCAGAAGCACGTGTGCGTGTGTGCACATCTGTGCTTCTTGGGTTTGGGGGCTGGTAATGTTCTTGCCTCCCCAGGCATTTTCACTGTCAGAACGTAAGGGCATCCACCTCCAGTACCTGTCCCTGCTGCGCGGTCCCTGGCCCCAGACGCGGTGGTCTCATGGCGGCTCTTCCCCAGGTGCAGTGGCACTGCCGAGCTCGGATGGTGGCAGGGGCCAACTTCTACATCGTGGGCCGGGATCCGGCGGGCATGCCGCACCCAGAGACGGGGAAGGACCTGTACGAGCCCACCCACGGCGCCAAGGTGCTCACCATGGCCCCCGGCCTCATCAGCCTGGAGATCGTGCCCTTCCGGGTGGCGGCATACAACAGGAGAAAGAAGCAGATGGACTACTACGACGCGGAGCAGTGAGTGTCCGTCCTCGGCCGGTCTGTGAGGGGCTGTGTGGTCCCCCTGCCGCCGGCATTGTGCAGTGTCCCATTCTCCTGTCCTGATGACTGCCCTTGTTGTCTCCGTTCCAGGCAAAGGGAGATCAAGGAGACCCAATATCTCATTATCCTAGGGGTTAGAAGTGGAGATAAAGATTTAATCCAGTGTTACGTTCGGTCCTGGTGTCAGGAATTCTGCCCTGCAGCTCTTGGGGCGGTACTGGTATCTGCATTTCCCAGGTCTGCCGCCCACTGTCGGTGCTGACCATAGAGCTACTGTGTCTCTCTTGGGTGCACAAGGGCAGTATGGGCTTCCTGTGGGGCATGTGCGGTGGTGCAGCCGGCGTTCAGATATTGGGGGTGTTCCTTTAACCTTAGAAATATGCATGCATGTGCACGAGTGTGTGTACAGATGCATGTGTGCATGCACTGCAGTATCACTCTGTGGGTTCCAGCTGTCTGCTGAGTGGCTCGAGTCCCGAGTCACCTCTGGAACACATCCATTCCCTCGAAGCTCCTCCTGGGCTCCCCACACCTGGTGAGTTTTATGCCAGAGGAGGGTCTTGTACATGTGAGTTGTTTTGTTGATGGGCCCTTAATTAGTACACCTGCTTTTTTGGTACAAATTATATTAAGCAAATTGAACAGATCATTCAGCAGATACTTCCTTTTTAATTTACATTTCAGCGGTGTCAGCTGCTGGCAGTTGCTGATGGAAACTGACCATGGCCGCGTGACTCTGACCCAAGACCCCCTCTCTCACATGGCCCTTCACACTGGCCCTGCACTGAGGACTGATGCCAGCCCTGACCTGTGTCCTCCTGGGCTGCAGCCCCTTTCTCTTGTAGGGACAGGAAAGAAAGGGAAACCTTTAAAAAAATGGACACGGTGTTCTCCTGTTTCTCAAAGGAGTGTAGAGTTTATTTTCTCTTGTTTTCTTTGAGATACCGAAGTTGTCTGGATAGTGAAACTGTTACGGCCGCAGGAGACAGGACTGTGTGGTTTCTCCTCTAAGGAGGTGATGATTTTGCAGACAGTGCCTGTGCAGTGGAGGCGGCAGCAGGCTTTTCTGCATGTTAAACTGTGGCTAAAGCACAAGAAAGTCTTGTGCAGTAGATGCACAGTTTTCCGAACTGGCCCGGCAGTGTGACGCCCTGACCTGACCATCCCTGAGGCTCAGAAGTGGGATTCACGCACCTGTCGCTTGCTGAGACCTCAGATGTGACCAGATATGTGGCAGGCAGATATTCTGACCCTGGTATAAAGTCAGGGTTGCTGCCACCTCGAGATAGTTCTAAATCATGTGGGGCTTTCCTTTAACCTTAAAAAATATGAATGTGTGCTCATGAATGCGTGCATTCACTGCAACGTCACTCTAAAAAATGCAGCTATAAAAATGGTGTGCAGAGTTATGTAAATGACTTTTTTTTTAACCAAGGGAATGGCTCTTTAAAGTCTTCACAAAATAATTTTAAGAAAAAAGAAAGCAATTATAGTAAACTGTGGGTTCTGAACCAACAAAGGTGATTGAAACCTTACAATGTAAGTTATTAAGGAGAGTAAAAACGTTTGGGTACAGCCTGGCTCTTTTGTGGTTAGATTTCCCAGGCCACCGGAGCTTCTAATGGAGCCAGCCTGCAGCAAGGTCACCCCACCGCAGCCCTTCCAGGAGGGCCCTGCGCCTTCCCACGGTGAAGCCACACAGTCAGGGAGGGTGGTGGGTAGACCCCTTTGGCTTCCTGCAGATGCGACTCCCTTTTCAGGTTGCAGACAGAGGCCGTTTTCACCCGGCTCCCAGAGTTCTGATGAACCATGCTGAGTCACTTCCATAGCTCCACAAGAGGGCAAGGGGAGAGCGAGAAATCATCCTGCCAGTGGTGAAGGACTTTTGGCTGGGTTTCCAGAGACAGTAAAGCTGAGCTAAAGACAGCATGGAGGTTCGTCTCCTCCCCGTGCCCACTGTCCTGTGCTGGCCCCTTCCCCTGGTCAGCTGGCTTCATCACCCTGGCCAGGACCCGTCTGTGTGTTGGGTGACCTTGGAAGCTTGCATGTTTGCTTACCTTGGTGTCATGTTGCTTCAGATCGCTTTTAGTCATTCCAAAGCTAAACAATCACATCAATTCCCACAGGATTTTCCAAGATGAGCTGTGCATTTGTTGCAAGAGTGGCTCATTTTCTTGGACTTCTTTAGGTTACAAGTATTAATAAGTTGTAACCTGGGAAGCTTTAAAACTGCCTTAGTTTGCTCACTTTTTATATTTGTGTTCAAATAGAATTAAGTTGATGGGAATATGTTGGAAAGTGATTCAAATTTTGTGGAAAAGCAATAGTCTTTGATGTAGTGAGGAAAGTCAGTTACTAATTATGCACACAGGGGGTTGTGTGATGTTTGATTAATGGGCGTTACTCAGTGCCAGCATTTATGTAATTAATGATTTTGTAGCTTTTGAGTTGATTAAATACCAGTGTAAGACAAGGCTTAGGGAAAAACAATTCATGAAGATTTCAGGCAAGATATTACTGACAGGGATCATGATGGAAATCATCTGTGTTCATTTGGGAAATTAAGGAGTTTCCTAATAGCTGCAAGAACGATTCAAGGAAATTTTGTTTTAGGACTGCAAGATAAAAGCCCAGTCTTAGCCTATTACAAACTTGTAGAGAAAATTCAATGATCTTATTTATATTTGTTTCTCTTTCAGGGAGTAAATCTTTGTATTTGGGTAAAGCCAAGGGCGTAAATGCAGATTTATTTAAATCACTGACACAGCAAATGCGAACAAGAAATAGCACTGGGCAGATGGGTGTGGATTCATCACTGGCGACCTCGGGGTTTCAGTAGAGCGTTTTCTGTTTTTAATGCTGGAGTACACTTTATAGTGTAGAAGGCTAGTGTCATTATATATATGGTTTATTTGAGACAGGGTTGCTGTGTCGCTCAGGCTGGCCTCACATTCACAGTGCTCCTGCCTCAGCCTCCTGAGTGCCAGGATTACAAGCGGGCACCACCACGCCCGGCTGGTGTCATTTTAAAAGACATCGCAATTTTGTGCATCCTCCAAGGCGTTTGCAGACTTCTCACAGCCAGGTGGGGTTGCTGCTGTCTCGCTCCTGTGCAATGACTGTGGAGCCCACATGCCGGCCTTCCGAAGGTACAGACTGGGCTGCGTTCACATTGCTACCATCACAGCTCACACTGGGCCACGCAGATTGCCAGCAGCTCACTCCCTGCTGTTCTTCAGGTCTGCAGGCAGACGGGTCCTTGCCTGTCCCCGGGCAGCATGAGACAGCTCTGGAAAGCGCCTGTGCCTGAGTGTGGACTCCATCCTTAGAGCTGCAGCCCCATCACCGCATTAGCTGCTGGCTCCGAGGCTCCCTGTCCTGGAGGTCACACGGGGTCCTTACCATGGGCGCTCCCTTCCCTGTGGAACCGCCAGGCCTCAGACCTGGGGCCTGCCCTGCTGCTCTGCTGTTTGCTGGGAACGACTTTTGCTGTTCAGGGCTCCCTGGTTGCGTTGGGCCCACCTGGCCAGCTGACTGGTAACCGAGTGCACCCACAGAGCCCCGGGCTCCGAAGCAGCATCTCAGAGTCTCCCATGGGGCGCGGGCGGGCCCGGTGCCTCTGTGCTCTGCCTGCCACACTCGAGGGCCTTTCTGCGGAGAGGTCTCCATGGGACATGGCCGTCCTTCCGAGGGTATCGCCAGCCTAACTTCCGTCCCAGAACCTCGGTTCCTTTGTCCTTTTACCTCTCTTCAGCCCCGAGTGCTGTCATGGTGACCACTGAACTGCTTCTCCAGTCAGTTCTTTTCTCTGTCTGCAGCAGGTCTTTCTCTGAGGATGCTGGATGCATAAAGTGCGTTATTTTTATTAATTTTGATGTTTCCTCGGTGGCTGTAACCAGGTGACTTTACAGATGGCCTCACCCTGTGCTTGTAGGTTGTGCGTGTATTATTTGGGGAGTTACTTCATGACTGTGAGAAGATAACCTCTAATTTATAATCACTGTATTGTCTTCCTGGCTTTAGTACACATTTGAATTTTGTTGTTGTTTTTGAGTCATGGTCTGGGCACTGAGCTGTAGGGCCAGGCCTTACTCATTTTGAGTCAGGATTTCACTGAGTCACGAAGTTGCCCAGTGTGGACTTGAACTTGTGATCCTGCTGCCCTGGCATCCCAGGGTGTTGGGATGGCAGACATGTGCCACAGTGCCCAGCTTGGAGTAAGTGCGAGTTTTTAGAAGATGATGTGGGTTGGATATAAGGAAGCTCAGGTTTCTGGAGATGAGGAATGTTAAATTTGAAGATTGGCTTTCCTCGGCTGGATAAAATGCAACATTTCTATAAAAAGCACTGTGGCGCTGACAGGGTGATCCTGAGTCCCACCAGGGCTGAAGTGGGAAGTGGACCGGGGCCTTCCAGGGCCTTCTAGCACCTTCTGGGGCCTTCCAGGGCCTTCTGGAACCTTCCAGCACCTTCTGGGGCCTTCCAGGGCCTTCTGGGAAGGTGAGCCTGAGCCTCTTTCGCCCTGGTGGACCCGGCATGGGGAGCCTCGAAGTCTCTGGCAGAAGGCACCGCTCTGGTCTGCACCCAGGGGGAGGCAGCGGGGGACCTGGTGACCGCCCCCCTCCTGTCCCGGTCACTGAGGCTCCAGGCTTGAAAGCTGCTCACAGGCCAGCCCCGCGTTTCCCGGTGACAGTGGAGCAGCATGGCAGATCCTTCGAGGTGTGGGTGATTGGATTCCTTGCCTCAGCAGAAGGCAGCACGCGCTTCCCCGAGCTCCCACAGTGAACAGCTCAGTCAGAAATGCCAAAACGTACAAGGCAGCCGAGAGCCACGGCAAGGAAAATACCCCGACAAAAAACAAACCCGCAGCCCATGAGAGAACCAGGCTCATGTGCTAGACACGAGTTCAGAGCCACTCGGGGTGAAGCCGGAGACCAGCTTGAACCAATCTGCAGGGGACCTAAAAGTGGTTTCAGAAAGAGGACGAGAGGGGAGGGTGCGCAGATGGGGGTGAAGGGGTGCGTGGGGCAGCCAGCCGTGCACGGAGGAGCTGGCTTTCTGCTCTCTGGAGAGCTCTTGGAGCACCAGGTGCTCTTTCCGCCCAGTTTCGGAGGTGAGCTCGCTTCCGTCTGCAGAGACATGGTGATGAGGGAATGGGCACTGCTCCTCTGCACCCCTCTCAGCCCCTGTCCTAGCAGATGCTGGCATGGCTGTGCCTCCTGAGGCACTGGCAGGAGCAGCCCGGAGAGAGGCGAGTAGCTGAAGCCATGAGTGCTGTCAGCTGAGAGGTCAGAGAGAGAGACAGGAGAGAGAGAGGGAGGAGAGAGACAGAGAGAGAGAGGCGATGGTGCGGAGTAGGGCAGAGGTGGGCGTGTGGCCAGTGCCCAGCAGTGTGGAGTGCGGGCCGCCTGCTCCAGCCTGTGCGGGAAGAGCGGCTAGGCCCTGCCACCCGGGCCTGCACTCTGCTCCTCCTGGGTTCCCTCTGTGGGCTTACGGGGCGCTCGAGTTCTGGTGTATTCTTGGGGTCACGGAATGGGTTCCCCCTAAGAGGTCTGCCAGTGAGAATACGTGTTTTGGAAGAACAGGAGAAAATCTGTGTGTTGCCAGTACTTGCGTGTGGTTTGCATTTATTCTTTTTCTATTCATGTATTTCACACACATGCACAGAGTTTTTATGAGAGGATTTTGTTTCTCCTTTTTATCTTAATTTTCACGAGCACATTTCTGGCGGTGCTCTGTAAGTGCCCAGGGCTCTCTGTGGTCCGTGCCTGGTACTGTGGCTCCGGCAGCTGTGGTGTGCAACACAGGGTCGAGTGTCATGGGGCAGGAAGTGAGGCTGGGGCACCTCCGCCCTGGCCACTGCCCCAAAATCCGGTCTCAGTTCCTTTCACATCTGTGCCGTCACGGCCATCCTGCCGAGTCGTGGCCCTGCCCGCCATGGCCTCTGGCTGGGAGGAGCCAGGCTCGGGTCTCAGGCCACCTCTATCTGCTTCTTCTGCCTTCTCTTTTTTCCTGTGGCTTTGGAATCTTCTCATTTTTCTTGTTTTTGCCCTTTGCAGGAGAGAGTGAGATTTATGTTTTATAAAACTATTGGAGCAGCATTTCCTCCCCACAGTGTGCCAGCTGGCAGGATTTCTTAGCCCGGGTCTCCTGGCATAGGGTCAGGATGAGCCTTTGCCCTGGGGAGACCGCCCTGCCTCTGTAGATGTAGGGTGCTCCCTGGGGAGAGCATGGGGTGTGAAGTCACCTCTGTTGAGAGGCCTCAGTATACAGCCGCATGGCTGAGGGGAGACCGTATCCTTTGGATTATTTCATCATGACCGACAAGGCAGACAGACTCTTCTTTTGTCTAAACATGGAGATTGGTACACTCACATTTGGAGTGACTGGGCATCGAAGTGCCGGTTTCTGGGTACCCGGAGACCCCTGTGTTTCAACAATAGAAACCGAGTAAAGAACAAGGCACTCCCTGGCAGCAGACAAAAAGGTTACAGCGTGCACTCAGAGCAGTGATTGGACACATGGACGCTAGAACTCTGAGACTGTGCTGGCTTTCCATCACGGGAGCAAAATAACCAGGACAGTCGGCTTAAAAAGAGGAAAAGTCCATCTGTTCACAGCAGAGGGTTCTTGGTCTGTGGGTGTCTGGGCTGAGCCGGGGCAGCTCATCTTGGTGGTCTGGTAAGGACCTGGTGCTGGACACCTTGCTGGGTCCAGACCCAACCTTAGCATGGGTTGTTTCTGTCCTGCAGCCTCCTGTCTTTGGCTAAAGGTGGTGCACAGGAAGCAGCACCCGGGACAGCAGAGTGCCCTGGCAGCCTCAGAGCAGCACAGGAGTTCGAGGAGTGAGAGCCCCCGAGGCAGCCACAGCCCCACCACTGTCTGCTTCAGGTGCTGCTTGTGTCCGTGCCAGGCAGCTGGTGTGGCTGTGTCTAGATGTCCCCCAGAGCCCATGGTCACAGGTGGGGCTTTTCGGAGGTGTGTGCTGCTCTGACCCTGGGACTGATTCCTGGTGCAATGCTAGGATTAAGGCTGTCCCTCCCTGGGTGACAGTGCTATGCGCCGAGTGGGTAAGATAGAAAGCCTGGGTAAGATATAAAGGATGGAAAGAGGGTTGCCGATAGCTTGCTGCTGCTTTGCTACTTTGCTGCCTTCTGCCCGCCATGAGCTGTTTCTCCTCTGTGATGCCCTCTGCTGTGCCACCCTGTCTTGGAGCCAGCCGACCATGGACTGTAACCTCTGCAATCTGTGAGCTAAATTAACCTTCCCTCCTTTAACTTTGGGCATTGAGTATTCTGTCTCAGTGGTGAGAAAAGTAACCAAGACAGTGTCCGAGAGCTTCCGGGATGGGCTTTCTGAGATGTGAGATCCGGGCCTGAGGGGCCAGAACCATCTTTCTAGAAGCAGGTGAACAATGTCCTGTCTAATTGAAATCACAGAAGTCTCAGATGTTGCACTTGATCAAAATATTTACTCAGGGGACTTTTGACACTGGCCTACTCCACTCATTTAAGATCCCTGTCCCATGCTGAGCGTGCATCTCATGCCATTTTACAGTGAAGAAAGTTGAGTCGATTGCATAATAAGTTTTAGAACAGCTGCAGGCATCCACTGTTTGGCTGAGGTAGGAAAACATGATCAACTCAAGAATTTGGTTAATTAGTTTGTAGACAAATTTTCCATGTATTTCAGCTGGTCACTGGTTAGAAAATAATAATTGTAAAAATTGTCATACATGGGGCCAACCTGTGCTTTTCAGTCCCTGAAGCAGAGCCAGAAATAACTGTTTATCTGGTTTTGAAGAGACCGGTTTTAGTCTCAGTCTTCAGAATACTGAGTGCTTTGATGTATTATAAATGAACTGCTTTCAAGTTACCTGAAAAGTTATTTAGATCCAAAATAATTAGACTCAGTTATAAGTCACCGCCATTAGCTTTAGTTCTGTCAAAGGAGTAATCCCCATTGGTTCTCTGAACTGCTTATCATCTACTTAGCATCTTAAGAAGCGGGGCTAATTGGATGGGAACCTTAAAAAGCGCTGATGGAAGGGCCCTGGCCCGGCTCTCGGCCCTGTGAGCAGCTCGCACTGCTGCCCACACTTGTGATGAGGGACAGCAGATGGCTGTGAAGACGCAGAATTGCCCACATGCGCCTGGGCATCGTCACACTGGAGCCGGTCAGATGCCCACCACCTGTGGCTGGTGTGTCACCTTGGGGTGGCTGGCCAGGCTGCTCGTCCCTCCTGCCATCCTAACCCTTCCCTATTTGTAGAGAGCCGGCTTCCTGTCTGGTGCGGACCAGGAGAATCTAGGGCTCAGTGGTTTTGAAAAGGAAGAAAACAAACACTTGTGTTTCTCTTCCCAGTACCCTGGAGATTGGTGGGCTAGTGGGGTAACATGGTCCCGGTGAGGCCGCTTTGCAGGAGAGGGCAGGGTCCTTTGTTTAGTAGTCCTTTCTGCTCCTGGTGGATTCCTGATTACTCAGAGCTAAAGTTTACTGCTAATTGTAGATCATTCCAGAAATTCCTCAGGTTTTTAAAAAATTCAGTTACTTCTGCAAAATGATGTCCATTAAAAACTTGTGACTGTGGTTTAGTTAGAGAGAGGAACCCTGTGTCAGGTCCTTGAGCCTGGCCACTGACAGAAAGGCAAGGCCTGTTGGCTGAGGTTGAGTCTGGAGTGTGAGGCCGGCAAGGCACCCTGTTTTCTGCAGAGTGGAGCCGAGCCGGAGCCGACCTGTTTCAGAGGTGGAGAAATGCTGGTGGCCTGAGGGGCAGGTGGAGTGTGAAATGGCTCTGGGCACTGAAAGAGTGCCCGGAAGTCAGTTTGAAAATGCAGTTTCAGAAGGAATGCGACCAAGTTCTGCGAGTCCGACAACTGGAGGAGGAAGGAGCTTAGTTGCCCTGTTTTTTTCCTGTCATCATAAGGCGCGGCAGTCTCCAGCAAGCTGCTTATTGCCACAGAAGGGAGCACTTGGGGCTTCTGACTTGAGGTTTTCATTTTTGAAACAAAGTTTGAAATGGACAGGGCCGGAGAGCCCCAGGCCGTGGCTGTCCCCAGTGAGGCTGCTTACTGAGGGGCGGCCGGTGACCTCCTCTGAGATGAAGCCTGGGGTTCTCGGGTGGGCAGGGGATCCGGACGCGGCGCGGGCGCTTCCCGCCTGTCGGGCCTTGCTCAGGCGGGTTCACCGCGCGTGTCCCCGCCCTGAGGAGGTGGGCGCCGTCCTGCGCCTGCTGAAGCCTCCCCTGACCCCGACTTCTCCATCTGTCCTCTGCCCAATCCCTTCCTCCACCCTTTCTCCTCTCTGCGGTGTATTTAGTAAGACTCCGTTTCCTTAAAAATGAGCCCGCATCGCTACCGCCCGCTTCACCGCCCGCCCCTTCCGTTGAAGTTTCAGTGGGATGTGCACTGATTTGGCCCCCGTCCGCGGACCAGCACACCCTCCCTCCAGGGCCTCCCGGCCGGCCCTGCCCAAGCTCTGGCTGGCTACCCAACGCGTGTCCTAGGGGCCCGGGCGGCTCCCCGGCCCTGCTCCTCTCGCCTTTGGCCCGTCGTTGTCTGCCCGCCGGCCCGCAGCTGACCACAGCGCTGCTCCTGGTCAGCCCCACGCAGTGCTGGGACGTCGGAGCGTCGCTCCCCAGAAAGCTGTCCGGACTTCCCTCCGGAACGCGTACAGATGGGATGCGGTATGATCAGTGTGGCCTACTTGCCCGGCCTTAGGAAAATCGGCGTCCACGCCAGCCCTCTGGCCCCACTCCCAGGCGGAAAGCTCTTTTTCCACTCAAGCTGTGAGAGTCTCCGAAGCGAGGCGTTTCCACACCCTCTTCCTTTTATACATCGGGCCTGGAGCCTATTGGATAGTGCTGCCCACATCAGGGCGGGGCGGGCCCTCCCCTCCCACTCGCCGGCCTGCCCGCCCATCATCTGGACACGCCCAGACGTGCGCCCAGTGGGGTGGACCCCTGCCCCGGCCCGGGCCAGAGCGGGAGAGCAGCGAGCCCTCCTAACCCAAGTGACTCTGATCTCTCGGCCGCGCCCTCCAGGTCAGGGCTGCAGGGCGCCTGTGTTCTGCACGTCCTGGTCCAGCGGGGTTCCCTCACGCTGGTGCGCCTCGTGCCTTGCACCCCGTGCTCGCCTCACGGCCATGCAGTGCGATGTCCAGGCGGCTCGGGGATGGCTCCGGGCTTTGGGCCTCCAGGTCTCTGTTCGGTGGTTTGCTAACCTGTCGCAGCCCCGGGGCGACAGCTGCCCTTGATTGCGTCAGGCTCCCCTAGCAACCAGATTTTACTCCCGCCATGCCTCGTGGAGAGGAGGGACCTGCAGCCCCCAACTGCAGTGGCCAGGGCCCTCGACCGGCTGGCCTGGCCCAGGGCTGTGATGGCTCCCTGCGGCTGCTCGGCTGCTTCCGGTGCCGGAAAGAGGCCGAAGGTGTAGGTAGATGGTCCTGTAGCCACAGGTGCTCTGTGCTTAGTGTAACAGGGTGCATGCGCCTGCGTGTGCGACTAGGCCTTGGGGTTTAGTCCAGCTGACCTCGAACTCGGGCAGTCCTCCTGCCTCAGCTTCCCAAGTGCTGGGATATTGGGCGTGCGCCACCACGCCTGGCCTGTGCGTGTGTGTGCGTGTGTGTGTGTGACGTGAAACACCGTGCTCACGTCTTGGTGGCAGGTAACCAGGGGCAGCCTCGAGGGCTGCTCGCCGCGCAGATGATGCGGAAAGCCCCTTCCTCTCCGCTTAGGTCTCTGCCGAGCAGGCCAGGCGCTGTTCCGGGGCGCGGTGGCCAGGCGGGGAGCCGGGGAGCTTTCCGGGGCTCTGCAGCCCGCTGGGCCGGTGGACGGGCTGGGCCACAGCGGACCTCCCGAGGCTGGCGGGTCAGGTGCTGCCGCCTGCGGCCGCGTCCCCGAGAAGTGGGTGGCGAGGGTGTGGAGGCCCCACGTCCAGGACTGCATCCCCCGCAGTGCCGGTTTGCTCTTTGCCCAGAGCGGAGTTTTAGATCCCACCACCCACTCACCGTCCGCCCCGCGCCCCGCGATGTTCCCCGCGCCCCGCGATGTTGCCCGCGCGCAGTCACGGTCTCTCTGCTCCCTCCGCAGCCACGAGGACTTCGAGTTCATCTCGGGCACGCGCATGCGCAGGCTGGCCCGCGACGGGCAGAAGCCGCCCGAGGGCTTCATGGCGCCCGCGGCCTGGGCCGTGCTGGTGGAGTACTACAAGGCCCTGGAAAAGGCGTGAGCGACGGGGGACCGAGGGACCAGAGGGCGGGAGCACGCCGCCCTCCCTCTGCCTAGCCTGCAGCGCGTCACCTGTCTGGTGTCACCCGCTGCTTTTGCCGTCCTCTTCCGCTTGTTATACTTAATATTCCTACAGTGCGATTTTAAAATCTTGTCTTTTTATATTCTATTTATGCTTCTGTCTCATACTTTCTTCAGGCTGTTCTATTAGTTGAAACCAGTAATACGCAGTCTCGCTTTTCCTCCCTTAAGAAAGGAAAAAAAATCACTAAATAATAAATGTGATTAGACCTTGTCTTGGAAATTTTACAAGACATGTGTAGCAGTGAGATGTTTTTTCCTACATTGAAAATGTAAACCACTTCCTCTCTTCCTTCCACTTAGCTATTGATCTTTCAGCCATTATAATCTGAAACGTTCTTATGACCTGTATAAGCTCTGAACAGACTTCTTTATTCAATAAAATTACATTTTTGGCTACTTAATTATGTGACATTTTTATATTGTTTTGCTCACACATAGCTTTTCGCTCCTTGTGAAAACGTTTCTGCCTGGCGCTGTGACACACGCTTGTAATCTCAGCAGTTGGAAGGCTGAGGCAGGAGGATTGCCAAGAGTTCAAGGCCAGCCTGGACCCAGTCTCACAAAACAACAAAATTTCTGATAGAGGAGGAAAAATGTAGGCATCTTGACTTGTAGGATCTCTCAGCTCCTAACACCATGCTACTTAGGGAAGTTTTGGGTAGCAGGAGCTGCTTTAAGGCGGAGAATAATAAGGCACTCAGCCTGTCCAACAATTCAACCACTTTCCCCAAATATGTCTCTAATAATCTTAAACATAACAGTGCCCTGGGGATTTAGAGCACAGGTGGGTGTGACTGCTTTAGTTAAGAAAACTGGCTTGGGTGGTAGGAGCAACGTCTCAGTCACAGTGGCTTAGTGTAAGGAAGGCTTGTTTGGTCTTCATGTCGTGTGAGAGGCCCTGCTCATGTTCACCTTTCAGTTTCAGGCTCCACCCTCTTCACTACCAGAACCACAGAGCTTTTGGAGGAGAAGAGCATAAGAAATTAAAATCATGCACAGTGCATACCAATAGTCCTAGCTACTCAGGACACTGAGGCAGGAGGCTTTCTTTGCCCAGGAGTTTGAGGCCAGTGTGGGCAACATAGGGAGACCTTGTTTTTTGTTTTTTTATAAAACCACACATGAGGGCCGAGGATTTAGCTCAGTGGTTTCGCCGCCTGCTGCACAAGTGCAAAAACCCAAGTTCGATCCCCGGTACCAAAAAAAAACCAAACAAAAACACAAAAAACCACACACAAACTCATGCACAGCTTCTGAATTGCGTCTTGGCCGGGACGCTTTCCACCTGCTAGTTGATTAAGCAGGACGGTTCAGACTGGGAGGAGCTGGGAGAAAGGAAACAAGCACTGCTAAATTTCAAGATAAGTCTTACTATCTAAAAGATTTCAAAAAGTTGAAAATACAGAAAACAGCTTACCCACCTGAAACGAGATGCAGGGGCCTGGTCTTCAGGAAGGGTTCAGGAAGGCCTGCATGCCTGGCAAACCCTGGGCATATTCAGGGTGACCAGGAAGAGGGGCCCTTAGGGGAAATGAGGACAGTCAGCTGGGTGTCTTGAAGCAGTGGCTGTCATGCTGTTAGGCTAACAAGGGTGCATAGGCCAAGGTTGAGCAGGCAGCTGCTGGGCAGTTGTCTTTGTGGAAGTGCTTTTGGTGCAGGTTGTGGTTTTCACAGAGTCTTTTTGTGATAGTTCTCCTTGTCAGGCAAATATGTGTGAGTGGGTGACCTCAGCCCCTTCAGGAGTTCCCAACTCCATTTTCTTTGGGTTTGACACAAGTGACTCCTTCGATTCTGGCAATTTTTCACTGCATTCTTTCAACACTAAACCAACATTCTTGTAAGATTGAGAATAAAGAAAATCAGATGACATGTGATCAAAAATGTAGCTTGTGCCGGATGAGTAATTGTCCTTTCTGAGCATCATCCCGCTGTGCCCTGGCCTCAGCCCAGCTGCCCTCTGTGTGCTGCGAAAGACCAAGGAGGAAATAAGCAACTGCTGGTTCCCCCAGTCCACAGGTTGGTGTGGATTTCCTTAATTTGCAAATCTGACATATGTGGGAGTTTTATTTTCCTCTCCCTAGTTCATAAAATGAGCTCAAACCAGTCTTTAAAGTTTCAGCCCCTTTGCCCAAACCTCTCCTGCCAAGTGGTCTTGGAGCTCTAAGTGCCGTTTTTATCTGTCCATCAGCTGGAAGAGTGGATGGAAAAATAGTAATTTTTTTTTAAAGGACGGAAGAAAATAAAGTGCAGTCATCTTGGCAGAAATGCAGTGTCTTAAAACGTCCACTTGCTATTCCACATGGTAATCAAGACCACATATTTGAGTTTCACTTCCATTCAGGAGGGGAACAATTGTGCATATCTCTTGGAAGTCAGCACAGAGTATTTTATCAGGGAAATTCAGAAGTTGAGCTCCCCACATGGGAGTGGGCTGGCTCGCAGAGCAAGGAGTATCTGGCCTCTCAGGTGTGGTGTGCGCTAGTGGCGGGAGGTGCAGCCCACTGGCTTTATTCCTGCTAGGTTCCTTTCCTAATTCCCGTCTTCCCCTGTGTGGAGTTATACGTATGCGTGTGTATATTGTGCAGAACTCGTCTGCCCGCCTGGACTGAGGTAAGATCAGCTCCCCGAAGTCCTTGAGGCCTGAGTTTGGACAAGGAGTCCAAAGATGAAGGCCCGGTCGGTCTGGTCCCCATGTCAGCTCCCCACATGCCCAAGGGGAGGCCTGAGGGCCAGAGCCAGGGCTGCCTGAGAGGGCGGGAGATCAGAACTGGGCATCTGGAAGGACAGCAGCTGGGGGGACGAGTCCAGGAGGCTGGGATGGTGGAGCAGGGTGTGCAGCTCTGGACTCCAGAGGGAGTCACCACAGTGGCCCATCTCGCTCCCATGTTTGCTTCCCGCCAGCTGAGGGAGCCAAAGAGGGCTGCTTTCTGCATCTGCGGACTCCCCATTACCCCATTGCTTCGATTCAACCAGACCCTTATGCTGATCTAGGTACAGGTTCAAGCCCGATGTCCCTGTTTGCAACTGAGATGGCGGGGAGCTTGTGTGGGGCAAAGGTAAAGGAAGGGCTGCAGCGCAGACTGAGGCTGCGATGGGAGGCGAGTGACAGCCCTCACTGGAGAGCAGAGGGAGGAGGAGGTAGAAGCAGGCAACCATGTTAAAACAGGAGGATGAGCAGGTTGGGCAGCAGATGTATCCTCAATGCCAGTGGGAAGGGCAGCCAGCCGGAAGAGCTCTTACCCCGAGAGCACGCGGGCGAGCTGGCCGCTGCCCGTTTTTATTAGGTCGACAGTCACGCCCTTTATCAGCCTATGTCACTGTGGCTGGGTCCTGGCAGTGGCAGAGTTGAGTGGTTGAGACCGACTTTGTGTCCTGCAGAGCTGAATGAATTTACCATCTGGCTCTTTACAGGGCATCTGCTGATGGCTCTAGGCAGAGAATTGCCTCTGCAGCCCACGGTCCCCACATCATCCTCAAAGGAGGGGACGGGCAGGGGACAGCAGCACGCGTGGCTTTCACTCTCTGCCTCTCACCTTCCTGTCCTTGCTTGGAGTTGGTGGGGAGTTCAGCACAGAGGCCCACAGCGAAGGAGAGTGGGGCCCCGAGGCGGGTCTGAGCCCTTGGTCAGGGAAGTCGACGTGGCAGTGCCCGCTTCCTCCTGTGCCGGATGCTGGATGTTAGCGACAGTCGGATGTCCACACACTTCACGGTCACCTGTGAGCTTGGCGCTGACTTCACATGCGGCCCTGTGGACTGAATTGCTCACTGAATCCACCGGAGCTTTCAGCACCACATCCGTCCCATTCTGTAATGGAAACCAAAATGTTGTAAGTGATTATGTTATTTTAAAATCAGAAGGATAAACTTGAGTCATTTGTAGAAAAATGAATGCACTTGGAGTTCATAATGATAAGTGAAATAAATCAGACACGAGCATAAATACCACACGGCTTCCTCTTCTATGACAAATTCAAATTATAAATAAAGAGCAAAATAAAAGATAGGTAATAGAAGTAGGGAGTAGATTTTTCTCAGATGGGGAGAGGACGAAGAGTTGTAGGGTGGGGTGGGAGGAGCAGAAGGGAATGAAAAGAGAATTCAGATGAGCTATGTACACGTACGGGCTCCGGGAGTGTAATTGTGTACTGCAGACGTACCAGTGACAATAAAAATGCAGCTTAAAATAAAAGTAGGATAGTTACAGGGAAAGGCTAAGAACATTTCAGTACACAGTGATTCCGGCCGCAGGTTTTGACTTGAATCTCACCACGACTGTCCAGGCAGCTACCAAGTGACAGAAGTTCGATGCCGAGTTTCTCAGCAGGCCCTGTGTGCAGTGTGCAGTGCTCACAGTTGTCATGCATGTGCCCAGGTGCTGAGCTGGGTTCCGATGGCCACGTGCACCTTTGCATTTCCTGGCAGCCAGGTTTTAATTTGTATCCCTGCATCACCTGAATGTTTTCCCTTGTACTGGGTTTCCTTTTTTTAAAAAGGAGAGCAAAAGAAAAACCTTAATATCTCCACCCCTCAGGGAAGTCCCAATGTACCACGTACTAGCCATGTGGGGTCTTAGGTACTTTATATTTTTATTTTGGAACAATAAGGAGGGAATTTGTCCCTTTTACTCATATTTTTAATTGACTAAATATATTATACTTAGAGTTGATAAAAATGTTTTCTCTTCCTGCTAGAAATAACCAAAAGAGAACAAAGAACCTCAGTGATGAGAACTATTATTTCTGTCAACAAACTTGAAAATGTGGCTTCTTAAAAATTTTTATCACTACATGTTTGCAATACATAATGATAGCACTCATTATGGGGAATTGGTCTATGCACACAACACATCTAATTTTTTTCATCCACATCAGATTTATTTTTAAGTCTTTATCAAGTTAATTGTCATAAACACAGAATAACAGCCAGATTAACAGACCAAAAACCATATGTACCACATAAAACAATTATACTAAATCAAGGTATACTCTTAGATACATTGGCCATGGTGGATTATAATAACTTTTTCTCTCCTTTTTTTTTCCTATTGTCTGTATTTTATTTTGTACTTTATTTATATTTTGGGTTTCTCATATAAGAGAAACCATGAGCTATTTAAGCTTCTGCATCTGATTTATTTCACTTAACATTATGGTCTCAAGGAGCACCCATTTTCCTAGAAATGACTCAAGTCTATCCTTCTTTATAGTAGAGTAGTATTCCACTGTGTATAAATACCACATTTCCCCCCAATTTATTCATCTTCTGAAGGCCATATAAGCTGCTAACAAGATTTAAGTTTTTTTTGTTTTTTGGTACTGGGGATCGAACTCAGGACCTTGTGCTTGTGAAGTAGGTGGCAGCACTCCAAGATTTAAGTATTAAGAATTGTGTTGGAGCAACC